GTTCCAGCGTTTTGCGGAGGCTGTAAAGTGCTAATGTTCCTGTCTCTTATTATATTCAACCTGAACAGATGTGTATATTCCTTGAATTTAGACAACAATGCTCCAATCTCATTGCAATAAACATATAAAGGAAATGATTAAAAGTTTTGAATAACGTGATGATAATATATGATATATTCAGTATCATATTAAAATCAAATTAACATGCTTTTCAGCAATAAAGTTTGCCTGAAACATAATCTGGTAAATAACACTACCACTTTAGGGAATATTGGATAAATTAATCTAAAAGAAGTTGGAAATATGGACCATTGGATTCTGGCCCAGTGGCTCAGTGGTAACGTGCTGGCCACAAAACCTGAAGGTCGCCGGTTCGATCCGTGGCTGGGTCGTGGGTGCACACTGCTGAAGAGTCCCATACTAGTGTGACGAAACAGCTGTCCAAGGCTCCCAGGTTTCCTTTGTTCTTCCAACTGATATCAGTCTATGATGAATAACAACTCGTAATATAGAACTACTGAAACATGTATTGATTGGTCACGAGAGTGCAGTCAATTTCATGTTGTCTAGTCCTGAGTGCACACCGAATTCTATCGATCATATTTGCAATGTGGCAACCAAGCTAGGAAGCTCAGCATCGCGGTGCACATTACTAGATGTTAGTTGGTTGGAGCGATGCTGAGCTTCCTAGCTTGGTTGCCACATTGCAAATATGATCGATAGAATTCGGTGTGCACTCAGGACTAGACAACATGAAATTGGTTGCACTCTCGTGACCAATCAATACATGTAAGCCAGTCCTACAGGAGACCTATCGCGGCCCGAATAGCTCAGTGGTAGTCGCTGACTGCAACACTGGGTGACGTGGGTTCGAACCTCAGGCAAGACATGATTTCCATCGAGGTTGCAGATACGCCTTGCTGACGAGTGCCAAAAAACATGAAACCTATGTCCAGGGCTTCCTACCGATTACCTCCAACCAACTAACAACTACTGAAACATTTTTGTTCGCTGTTGCTACCGTAAGTTGCTTGACTATTGGAATTTATTACTGACAATAGGAAACAGATGATTATATAAATTCAATGGGTTACAGTGATAAAACTGTAAAAGGTACGGCTTACTTGTTGTTCTGACACTCTGATTTTCAGTTTTCAACTATATACTTAGACTGCAGTTCACTCAATGACTGTTCCATGTACACGCAGATTTATTTATGTCACAAAAAACATTATTAGTGCCAAAAAACTTTCGTTATCAAAAGAAGGAAATGAAAAATTCAATCTAGATCATGACATATCTTCTAAGAATTTCTCATTAACTTGAATACGAGTTGGGAGTAACTGAAATGTCAACATATATGTATATTCGGTAGTATGAATTACTAAGACAACCGTTTTATATATGGAACGCTTATCGTATATTGAATAGATCCATTTTGTATAGCAGATAACAACATGGTTTCATTTTAAAAATGCATCAATTCCCAATTAGGTATTGAGACAAAAATATTTCTAACGAAGATATTTTTTCGAGTAGGCTCAAAGTGAGTGGATTAATAGAAAACAACTTAACACACCAGCTTAGTTGATAAAACTGGTCGGTTTCAACATATCAGTGAGAAGGTAATTAATTTAGCAAATGAAGATAACATACATTAATAGTAGACAGTGGCTATCAGTGGAAACCAGGAATCACGTCTCATCCCATTTGGGACCCGTCAGCCGGATGTGACTGAACCCTAGTCAGTGATATTGTCCTCACCAGGACTTGGACTCGGGACCGATTGCTTCAGGAGCCACAGCGTTGTCCACTACACCAGCGATCTACGATAGCTACTTCTTGTGCGACGAGTATAGTTTTAGTATCCATCATTACTATAATTAAGACACATGTAATATCGAGCAATCCTCACAGGAGCCCATTTGCTAATAGAGACCGATCAGTTTGGTCCAACCAACGACAGTACAATACAAGCAATAATACTAATTTAGATAACATTTAGATAACTGAAGAATTAAATAATCAAATTATATAAAAACTGCAACGTGCTGGGAAAGTAGACAGTTTGCTTATGTTACTGAAATCCATAATTGATGATCTTTCACTATATCGAATCAACTTTCATTTTTTAGGACGATAATGCACCAAATACAAAAGTCTTAGGACCATTGGATTTCATTTGGACCATAGTAACTTGCTCACCACAAAACCTCTAGGTCCTGGGTTCGACCTCCGGCAGAATCGTGGATACGCATTGATAAGGAGTCGCCATACAAGTGTATGGTGAACGCCAACTTATAATCAAAAAATCCTCACAAATCCTCAAAGGGAATTACAATTAGGCCTTAAAAATATATAGGATTCATAACATAATTTAATCAAATCTGGTTAGATTTCGTAATTTATTCAGTAAACAGTTAGAATAGTGATTTGGCTACGCGTCGATTGAATTCCTACCGTATCATTTATCTGCTAACAACTTATGTATTATGTGTATGCATTATGCGAAATAGACCTGTGGGATCTTAGTGGACAAATTCAAATGTGTGAAGTTGTATGAGAAATAATCATTTCTTTCATTACCTAGTATGATTACTGAGTTCAAATTGGTTGAAGTTGTTGATACCTTCAGTAAAATGACCAGTATGCTTTATCGGACTACCAGTATAAAAATGTTGGCATAAACCATTAGAATCTTATAGTACTTTGCAACAAACTTCATAGATTCACTGTTCATTTCGAAGCCTTTTCTTCAACTACATACTGTCTATGAAATCCAGAAAGATATATAGAGAGAAATACAATCCACATAATTCACTTATGAATAAGTTGATAGTTAATTGATGACATAATGAAAAAATTGATACAGGTTAAGGAAGTTCCATTAAAGTAATTTGTGATTAGTAAAGTCGAGGTTATCCTATTAATGATGGATAATGGCTAGCAGTGGAACCCGGGATGCGTATTTCGTCATATTCAGGACTCGTCAGCTTGGTGTATCTGCCTCCCAGTGAGTAATGTTGTTCCTACCAGGATTCGAACTCGGGACTGACCGCTTCAAGCTCCAGAGGGCCAGAACGACAGTACAATACAACCAATAATAATGAAGTTATCTTATGTTTATACAGTCAGACTGTCATCTTGCTGCATGTGACCAAACAAAAAATGGAACAGAAAGTACTGAGAAAGTAGCAAGATATTATTATTATTATTAGTCCCTTGGGTTCCTAGTGGAACATAGGGCTTCAGTAGCACGCCTCCAGTGACCTCTGTTCTCTGAGATCTTTTGAAACTGGTTCCACGACAGCCCACAACCTCTCATTTCCTGCTCGCACGACCTCCTCCATGTCACCCTCGGACGTCCAACTCGTCGCTTCCCATGGGGATTCCACTCGAGTACCTAGCCTGACGCGTGATGTCCTCCGTCGGCCTTCTCAGTGCATGGCCAATCCATCTCCACTTCTTCCTGCATATTTGTTGCGTGATAGGTTCTTGGTTGCTTCGTTCCCAGAGTTCCTTGTTGCTTATTTTTTCTGGCCATCTGATCTTCAGTATCGAGCAAGCGTAAGCAGTTGTTGATGAATGTCTGTAGTTTATTGGAAATCCCTTTCGTGACGCGCCAAGTCTCTGAGCCATACAGGAGCACTGACTTGACGTTGGTGTTGAAAATCCGTATCTTGTTCCACATGCTGAGTGCAGAAGATCTCCACACTGGTTTCAGGCTAATGAACGCTGGCCTGTCTTGCTTTTCCGATTCTGACTTTGACGTCCTCGTCCGTCCCGCCTGTAGTTGAAACAGTGCTTCCTAGATAAGTGAAGGAGGTTACTTCCTTCAAGTTTCTCCCGTTGACGGTGATTGGAGTTTGTTGTTGTTGTTGATGGTGGTGGTGCGGTATCTTCATCACTTCTGTCTTCTCTATATTCACCTGAAGTCCCGTCTTCGCTGCCCTGCCTCTTCTATCAACTTGTTAGTTTTTGCCTGCAGATCTTCAAGTTTATGTGACATTAGGCACAAGTCATCGTTGGCGAAATCCAAGTCTTCTAGGTTCTTTTCCGTCGTCCAGTGTATCCCCCTCTTCTCGCTGCCTACTGTTTGCTGCATGATCCAGTCCACCACAATCAAGAATATCATGGGTGATAGTAGGCAACCTTGTTTCACTCCTGTCTTCACTTCAAAGGCATCACTGAGCTTCCCATTGTGGATTACTTGGCATGTGGCATCTTCATATAGATATAGCAAGATGATATTCTGGAGTATATAAACATAAGATAACTTCGAACTCCTTAATCTCTATCAATTCTCCTGTGATGTCATGAATGGACTATCAACTTCTGAATGAATGAATTGTGTGGATTGTACCGCCAAAAAGCAAGAAACGTAGATTCGACGCTTCTTGCCCATTGTATTCATCCAACTAACATCTGCCAGAGTGCATCATGATGCTGAGCTGTCAAGTCTGGTGGCCATATTGCAAAATGATTGATAGAATTCGTTCAGCACATAGGACTAGACAGCATGAAGTTGGTTATCCTGCAGTGACCAATCACTGTATCGAATCCAGTCCTACGAGATGCCAGTCGCGGTCTAAATAACTCAGCGACAACGTCACTGACTACAACACTAGGTGACATGGGTTCGAACCCCAGGTGGGATATTAGTACCATCAAGGTTGCAGATATGCCTTGCTGATGAGTGCGAAAAGGCATGAAACCCAGGTTCAGGGTTTCATGTTGATTGTCTCCATCCAACTTACATTTATCGGACTGTATTTCTCCTTATATATCACTTTGGATTTCATAGCCTGTACACAGTTGAAAAAAGGTGACAAAATGCACCATGAATTCATCGTATTCTTCAAGCTGTGTTGTTTTAACTTTGCTGAAAATTTTAAAGGGAACTATCTCTATGAAAAACTTTAAAAATTCTAATTTGCATCTTCTGCAGTACTAATCAAAACTACCCCCTGCCCCCTCAATTTTTAAACAACAATTTTCAGAAATGAAAGTCGCCGAAAATGGATTCGAAAGAAAATGAACCATATTCTACCCAAAATAAACAAATGTAAGTGAATTCACCATTTCTTTTTTTACCTTAAACTGCAATTCTGTTAATTTATTCACAAATTTATTTTACAAGCCTAACTAATTTCTACCTTGATTGTATCCATCAGACGTGTTACCTTGAAGTTGACTGGGATTTGAATTTTAGGTTAGAATTCATCGCAGGCTGACATCAGTTAGAAAACTAATGGAAACCTGGGCGGAGGAGGCAGCTAGACAGCCACCTCGTCCCACTATTGAACTCCTCAGCAGTGCACCAACAACTCAGGTGGGGGTCGAACCCAGGACCTTCAGGTTTCAGATCGAACGTGTTTACCATTCATCCACTAGGCCAGAATTCAGTGGTCCATAGTTTTCTACTTCTGTCAACTTGGAATGTTGTATCACTATCCAGAAAGGTCTTCATTTGGCGCCCATGCGTGCTTACTGCTGAGGAAACAAGTGAAACAGATGTCACTACGTGGTGAATACTACCTTAAAATATGTTATCCATTGTTATGCATGTAGTAAGTGTGGGGACCATGTAATTCTGATCTTAATTTACCATACATTCTGACACGAATATACATCTCAGTGTTACCAGTTAACCAAAATACTCTCACTAAAGGCATTAATTACTACGATGAATAATACAAATATGTTATTAAATTAAATTCGCTGTACAGTTGCTTATAGAACTCAATGGATTGTATGTTCCTTTGAGTTGGAGAGCATATTTCGAACATCTTAAATACCGAATCTAATGATATTATGACCAACTTAATATATCACTGAACAGAGTACTGTAAAAGACAGTTTGGAAAAACATCTAGTTGACAAAATCGAACCCCTTTAGCATAATCTATGGTGACTATATGTTTTTCATATTCCATATCAGTCATTAGAAAACAATTATCATATTAAGACTATATTATATATCTAATCATAATCATGTGTACGATGACTCTGTGTAAGAACAATTGTGCGAACAAAGGTTAGACAGATGGTTTGCCATCACTTACTTAACGGTATTAAGCAAGCATAGAATACATGGGTATTCCGACTGAGTGATAATTCGTAGTCCCTTCTCAGATGTCCAGCTCTTCAGATCAGCAATAAATAAGTTAGAAATTCACACTGAAGTCTTCATTTGAATATCAAATTGTGGCGTCTAGATGATGAGACGAATGTTTTTACAATATATGATGAAATGTAACCCATAGTAAGTTGGTTACATTCCAAATGAGCTTTTGAAACACATTATTATCATATATTATTATTTGTCCCTAGGGTTCCTAGTGGAACATAGGGCTCCATTCCACTCTGTTCTCTGCAATCTTTTGAACCTGGCGCCACCGCTGCCCACAACCTCTTGTTTTTTCCTCACACCATCTCCTCCATGTCACCGTCACCTCGGACGCCCAACTCGTCGTTTCCTATCTGAATTACACTCGAGTGCCTGGTGTGTGATGTCCGCTAATAGTCTTCTCAGAGCACGCCCAATCAATCTCCACTTCCTTCTGTATATTTGTTGAGCGGAAGCTTCTTGGTTGGTTCGTTGCCAGAGCTCGTTGTAGCTTATTCTAATTATTCTGGCCATCTGAGCTTCAGTAACGAGCGTAGGCGGCAGTTGTTGATGAATACTTATAGTTTGTTGGAAATGCTTTTGCAACGCACCCAAGTCTCTGAACCATATAAAAGCACTGACTTGAAATTGATGTTGAGTATCCGGATGTTCACGCTTTATGCTGAGTGCAGTGCAGTGCAGTGCAGTAGATCTCCACACTGATTTCAGATTTATGCAGTAAGGCCTGTCTTACTGTATTTCCGATCCTGGCATTGACGTCCTCACCTGTGCTTGTCCTACCTGTAGTTGAGACGATGCTGCCTTGCCTAGGTAGGTGAAAGAGACAACTTCGTTTAGATTTCTCCCGTTGATGGTGATTGGTGCTTGTTGTTGATGCTGTTGTTGGTTGGGCATCTTCATCACCTCCGTCTTCTCTACGTTCACCCGAATTAGGTCCCATCTTCGCTGCTCTGCCTCTTCTGTCAGCTTGTTGATTTTCGCGTGTAGATCTTCGAGTTTGTGTGACAAGACATTGGACGTAAATCACCATTGGCGAAATCCAAATCTTCTTCTCCGGTCTTTCCTCTGGTCTGGCCAGTTTATACCCATCTTCTCCTTCCCTACAGTTTGTTGCACGATCCAGTCGACCACAATCAGGAAGATGATCAGTGATAGTAGGTGGCAGTTTTGTCTATCGTGCCTGCGTGGCATAGTGGATAACGCGTTGTCTTTCGAAGCGATAGGTACGAGGTTTGAGTCTCAATGGGGACAACATCACTCCACACTGTGGTGCAGGTGCATCTCGCTGACGAGTGAGTCCCGAATAGAAGGAAACGCGTACACTGGATTCCCCTTCTAACCACAACCAACCAAATTACCATAAGTACCATGATAGCTTCAGTCAGTTAAGCTGTTTTAAATAATCAGTCCTTTCGATGAATTTCTGTTTTAATATTATCCAAATTTGTTTTAATTTTCATAATCCACTTTAAAGTGAAGTATGTAAGGAATCTTTATCCGTTTAGATCTTTTATTCAAATCGTCTACTGATAAAACAACAACTAAAAATGATTTACAGTCAGTTATGCTCATCTGTGGTACAGAAGTGAATATCATTTCAACTGATCAATTAAAAATTATCAAAAAACTTGGTGAAAGTAAGTCTTTCTTTAGTTTTCATTTCTTTCTAAAATCTTGAATTATATTTGCAAAACATTCAGATTATAATTGTCAAAACAGTCCTAGAAAACGTTGACGGTAAAACTGATTCAATTTGCTTAAGAGTACATTCTTATGTAATCCCATTGTGCTTAGAAAACTAAAAAAATATGGTTAATGGACGTTTTGCCGTGTAAGCCATAACTTCTTCAACAGAAAATGTAGATTTCTATTTACTGAATATATATCCATTAAATAGAATAAAGAGTTCAATAAAGGAGATCCTTTTCAAGGAATTTATTTTCAAAAGCTATACAGTGGTATACATACCGAGGTAATATTTATCATGGAGTGACATCAGTCGGAGACCCATGGAAAACGCGGGAGCACTTAACGGTGATTTCGTCATAGTATGGAAGTCCTTAGTAGTCATACATCCATGACCCGGCTACGGATCCAATTTACGACCTTCAGGTTTCACAGAGAACTCAGTAACCATTCAGTCACTGAGTCAGTTTCAAATTCCTGTCGACTTGCGATATGGTGTAACTATCGTTCAACGTCTTTAAATAACATCTGCTTCTTTTCCATATAGTTGACCTCACAGGTCACGGCTTGTCACTGGAACTTCGCGTAGTGAGTACATACTGTTTAGGGGTGTGTTTGGTTTCGACGATAGCCAGTTGATAATAGTGAATTGTGTTTCAAAATCGATACACAGTTTTGTTAGTAGGGTAAAATCTTGTAAAATCTATAAAATAAATAGGAACATAAGAAAGTCAGTGTTATTCATTAGTTTAAAGGAAACATGATAGCAGTAAGTAACAATATTCAAATAAGACAGATACAAAGTGAATTGGTGTTTTTATATGAAAGATAATCAAAAATTGTAAACAGAAGAAAATCATTAATGATAATGTGAAACAAAGTAAATTTAAAATAGAATAGAAGACAGTAAGGCCGAAAACCTCTGAGACGACCTTGAAATGAGGGTAATCAATGTTCAGTACGTTGAGATACTATATTAAGATGATGGTAATGAAAGCGATTTAACAAATTGGTTTTGTATGGATAGCTTCAACTTTTGAGCTACGACGGCTTCTGCATTGTGTAGTAAATGAAGATGTAAGCGTTTAGGAAGATTAATTTAGATCTTATAAATAATATCAAAAGAGGTATTGGAACCTGAATGTGCAGTATTGGCTAAATATTGTGAAATAGACGAACTGATTGTTCTTCTTTGCCCGTTTTAAAAGAGTTATTTGTAACTACTACTTATTGCTATGCATGCATTCATCCGTCGACTTACTGGATTGAACTGTTCGACCTCTATCGGCATATGGGCTCCTATACGCATAATTCGATATCGTCTGAACGTTAATCCTAGTAGTTTACTTGGTTGTGGTTAGAAGGGGAATCCAGCGCACGCATTTCGTCCTATTCGGGACTCGCTCGTCAGCTGGATGCACCTGCACCACAGTGCAGAGTGATGTTGTCCCCATTGAGACTCAAACCTCGTACCTATCGCTTTGAAAGGCAACGCGTTATCCACTATGCCATGCAGGTACGATAGCCACCTCTTGTACAGTGGGTAATACTTATTACTATTTATTGATATCCATGCAATCCTCCATTGTTTAATTGGACGTAATGGTTCCACCTCTGTTGGCATTTCGATGCTTCGATATTGTCTGGATTTTAATTACGTACAACTTGGATTCCTCTGCTAGCCACAACCAAAACAATTATCAGTTATTAATCGTATGAAAATTCCCATTGCAGCAAAACAAAAGACTCATAACAAAGAGTCATCTTTCTCAGTGATAACATTCTCAAGCTGTACAATCGCATATAAATAACAGAACGAAGTTCTGATTTGATTTTCAATCAGGAGATCGAAAACCGAAAAATATTTGAAATAGTAGTGAGAAGAACACTTATCAAGACAGAACTAATATTTGGTAAATAAGTTAAATGATGTAACACTGTGAATGTAAAAAGAAATCAGAATTATAGGAGTGGAGGAATGTAATATGTCAGAACATCTGAATGAAACGATTTTTGAAGTTGAACATGTTCTTATAGGTTATGATCATTTCAAGTAACTTGACCAATGTATTTTTGAACTCAGAGTTAAGGCTTCAAACTGTGAAGTGTCCTCGTTTCTCTATTGCGGTACCAGGATGGTATCATGTTTGAAAACCGAACTCTGAGCATGGCAAATATACCTTACTCCATAGGAGCAAGTGATTTGATAAACATACATTGAGGTGGCCAGTAGGAGTTAGATTATCCCTCATTAATATGTTATCTATAATATAAATATAGTAATATTCACATCCGTAATTTAATATGTATATATATTCCGAGTGATGATTGAATTCACATGGTAGTCGCACGAAACCCTTGATGACTGAAGTGAAATAAAAATCTGGTCAGCAGTCACACCTTATAGGTCAGTCGGTAGAGCATCGGGTTGGAGGCCCCCGTGGTCGCTACTTCCAGTTGGGCCACGATCTAAATTTTCATTTTACCTTCAATCACCACTCTGTATAAATAGTAGTCTGCCAAACTACAGTTATCTCAGATAGTTAAAATGATAATATATATACTTTTGTGCAGCTTTTGAAAATAAATTCGTTGCAAAGCATTTCTTTCGCTTAACTATTTCTTCTGTGTTATTGCCTGTATTACACCAAACGTTGATTGAACCGAATTGATCAGTCTCTGTTAGCATATGGGCTGATGTGCGGATGCCTCGATATTGCCTGTGTTTTAATTATGTATAGTAATGATTGGCAGTGGCTAGCAGTGGAATCCAGGATGAGCATTTCGTCCTGGATTCCAATGCTAGCCTCTACCCATCATTACTATATTTATTCTGTTTTTAATATTATCAAAATATATCACGAAATAGTGGATCAAATATTATGCTTATTTAGGTCACTGGTTAGATGGTTTCTTGTTTAAACTGACTAGTATGACTAGTCATTACAAGTTCATATTTCTTATTGTCATTTTGTCAACTTCATATGTAGGGCAGTCAAACTGTGTCGCTCGAACAACACTAACCTGCCAACCAATGACAGGTGTTCACTAAATAACTAATGTACTATTTGACCATACATTTTGATGCTGGGAAAAACTGTGACTATTCTATACAAAGAAATTTTCAGAAAAAGCTAGTTATAATTTTGTAAGCATAATGGACAACGATGCCGGCACGAATAACTCAATGTTAGTGTATCTGACTACAGTAGGTGATTTAGTAAGTTCGAATCCACTAAGAATCCTCAGTTCCGTCGAGATCACAGGTATATCTTACTTATTAATGTGAAGAAGTATAGAATTTACGTCGAGCGAGGATTCTTATCGATTGACTTCAATGAGGTAACATCAATCACTCTGCACTGTACATTGTCATACTGTTTCCTCATCTGATGATTATATCATAAAAATAATCGATAAAAATCAGTAAGAACTTTGGAATAGATAACATGAAATTGCTTGTTGTCCAGTGACCAAACAATGTATGTAGTCTTTATCATGACTCTAATCAAGTGAATATTTTCTGTTATGCTGTACACAGTACATATATTGTCATCATCAGATTTCTTACATGCAATATGTTTAGGAAATTTTAGGGGAGAAAATTTTAAAAGGTTGGATGATATTCTTACGATGTTATCTTGTCCGCTGAAATCTTTGTAAAAACTTTGGAAATTTCATTCAAAGTACAGGAAACGTTTTAGCTTCAATAACTTTGTCTCTTTAGAGGAATAGCCAAACAGAAGAAATACTTTTTATCATTTTTATCGTTCACCTACGAAAAATGTAGAGCAGTCAAATTATATATCTTTGTTGTACACTATGTGTTGTTCCTTGCATTTTTATATGAAAATACTTGTTTATTGATGAACAATCAATAATTGTCATTATTCTTAAAGCTTAAGTTAGGAAAGCTCATCAGTAAGAGTTTGTCCGAAGAATGTTTGCCAAAAAGCTGACAAGTGTATAATAAATTTCTGAGGTTAAGTTTTCTTAATGTGAATGCAATCCATTTCCGAATATGTTTCAATAGTCAAAGTTAATCATATATCCCCTCTCGAAAGCGTGCCTAGATTTTGCTGATCGCTTTACTGAATTTGACCTAAATAACAATAACAAGTACCAACCATCATCAACAAGAGAAATCTAAACGAAGCTGTCTCTCTCACCTACCTAGGCAGCATTCTCTCGACTACAGGTGGCGCAGACACACATGAGGATGTCACAGCCAAGGTTGCAAAGATAGGAAGACAGGTATTTATTAATCTGAAATGTGTGGAGATCTACTGCACTGCATTTCACCGCACTTCACTCAGCATAAAGCGTGAACAACATCCGGATTTTCAACACTAATATCAGTGAATTTAGTGCTTCTATATGGTGGTTGAGAGACTTGGCGCGTTATGGAAAGCGTTTCCAACAAACTGCAGAGATATATTATCAACAGTTGCCGCCTACCCTCACTCCATACTGAAGATCAGATGACCAGAATGATACGAATAAGCAAGGAGGAACTCTGACTGGCAACGAACCAACCGATCAACAACCTATTGCTCAACAACTATGCAGAAGAAAGTGGAGATGGATTAGATTGGACATACACTGCGAAGACGGTTTGTGGATATCACGCAACAGGCTAGGCAAGGCCGTCGGGTTGAATCCAAGTGGGAAACTATGAGGTGGGCGCCCGTGGGTGACATGGATGAGATCGTGTGAGGAAGAGATGACGGCTTATTGGCAGTGGTGGAGTGAAGTTGAAAAGACTGTGGAGAAGAGAGTGAAATGGTGACGTGCTATTGAAGCCGCATGTTACACTAGGAACCTAAGGGACAAATACTCATAAGAATAATTATAATAATGTTAAAGGGCCAAAATAAGATGAACTGACTGTCTCAAAGCGGTAGATTAGTAGTATGCTCAAGACTTTAAATGATGAATAATTATGAATTCAGAGAAACTGAATGGCGATTGGTCAAGCACATTAGCATAAAGAGAATAATAATAACAATAGTATGTTTTTTTACACCAAAGTTAACGATTTCTCTCCATATGGGTGCACGTAATCAACTTAGAGCAGAAAAGCATTAAATAAGACGGTAGTAAAATTTTATTCTAAGCTTGCGTATACCTGATAGTACCATCAGTTAATTCGGCGTTTGACAAAAGGAATGACGTTATTTCACAAAATAGGTAAGAGTAAGTACGTCTTAAATAGGAAAAAACGCGTCTTGGATTTCACTGTTACCTATCAAGTAGGCTACAATGCAATGAATATCCATGCAGCATAGAGGCATCTGCAAAGGAGCCCAATAAAATAGGTGGGAGTTTTTCAATATATTTTTGGACAAATCATTAATAAGGTGTTCTGATTTGAGTATATATGACATTAACTGGCAGTTTACTCTGTGCCTATGGTACATCTATTGGTAAAGCTTTTGACGTCAGTTGATCTTAGTCTTGCGTTCTGCCTCACTCCTATTTTCAGTTGTTATTTATCATGGACTGACGTCAGTTGAAGGAACATTGGAAATGCGGGGGCACTGGACAGCTGTTTCGTCCCAGTATGGGGCTTCTCAGCAGTGAGCACCCACGACCCCGACAGGGGTCCATGGTGAATACCAACTGGAAAAGTCTTTTAATCCCCACGGACCCCCAAATTCAAATGAACTTTGCTGATTGGTGACCAGCTCCGAGAGGTGATTTCCTAAGTTTTAATGAGAATTCATGACCGGTGGGGCGAACCTGGTGGCCGTGAGGACAAATACCCAACGACGAATCTGAGTGGCGATCGTGCTATGTCGTAAACTGACAGAAGTTAGAAATATGGAACATTAGCCCGATGGTAACGTGGTGGCCACGCAACCTGAAGGTCGCGAGTTCGACCGCTGTCGGGGTCATGGGTGCGCACTGTCGGAGAGCCCCATACTAGTGTGACGAAACAGTTGTCCAGTGCTTCCATATCTCCAATGTTACTCCAACTGGTCTAAGTGAACAATGAATACGAACTTAAAAATCCCTAAATTCGCATAAACCCCCAAACTCAATCCTATTTTCCAGGCTTTAAACAGAAGCTTTCTAGGATTGAGAAGCATGCGATTGCTTGATTTGTTCCTATCTGAAATGACTATGATGGTGTTTTGGTTACTGTTTATTCTCAAAGGGATATTAGTTTTCATTTGGAATGTCTTAGATTAGTACCTGGTATTGATATGTTGTTGAACTGTCTGTTATCATTTGCATAGGATCTATTCAGATTCCAAAAGCCATTTCATAAGTTTAACCTTTAACTTTGTTTTCCAGCTATATCAATTTCTGCCGCTTTTAATTTGAATCTCTTAAACGTTTTTGGTTTGTGCTTGGAGCGATTCAATTCATACATTATACTTACACTACATATGAAGAGTTTTATCTGTATCTTGTCTGAGATGACAAGTTAAAAAACGAATTGTCATTGATACTTATTATTATTAATCCCTTGGGTTCCTAGTGGAACATAGGGATTCACTAGCACGTCTCCAGTGACCTCTGTTCTCTGAGATCTTTTGGACCTGGCTCCACGACAGCCCACAAGCTCGCATTTCCTCCACGCACGACCTCCTTCATGTCACCCTCCGACGTCCAACTCGTCGCTTCCCATGGGGATTCCACTCGAGGGCCTGACGCGTGATGTCCCCAGTCGGCCTTCTCAGTGTATGCCCAATCCATCTCCATTTACTCCTGCATATTCGTTGGGTGATAGGTTCTTGGTTGGTTCATTCCCAGAGCACCTTGTTGCTTATTCTTTCTGGCCATCTGATCTTCAGTAGCGAGCGTAAGAACAAATAAATCAATTTCAAATGCTTTCTACTAATTTACTGACTCATATTGTCACATATCCAAACCTGGCAGCTTTGGAAGATTCACGTTGAGCACTTTCAGCTGAACATTCTCACAAGTGCTCGTTTTTCGATACACTGTAGATTTATGAAACGATACATTGACATTTTTCCTCTGAATTACAGGTCTACACTTCAAAAAGGCATCATATCTCAGAATAATAGTTCGTCTATTTGAAGCATATGTAAAACTCTCAGAATTCTGTCTCATTATGATGACAATATGCTTAAATATCTGAAGAATTCAAGTCAAACTTTACTCATTTCAGTCTGTCTACATCAGGGGCATATATATCAGTCTGAAAATTTTGATATGAAAATATGATTTTCACGCATCTGGAAATTTATTTATATAGTTACAGACAACATCTGCATTTTAAGACTTTCATACTTGATTCGAACTCTTCCTAACAAACTGATGGGTTATCCAGTTATGCTCAAAATTTCTAACAGCTTTTAATCTCTAGGTATATCAATAAGTGGTTTTTAGTGATTTCTAAACCTCCAGATTTCCTCTGAAATTAACATCTGGTCATCTGAGATAGCCATAGTTTGGCAGAATAGTATTTATACTGAATTATGATTGAAGGTGAAATAAAGATTTAGACCAGGGCAGGATTCGAACTAGCGACAACGGGGTTTTCAGCCTGATGCTATTCCAACTGAGCTATGAAGTTCGACTTCTGACCAGATTTTTATCTCACTTCAATTACCCTGGGTTTTGTCTGATTACCATATGAATGCGTGTCGCGTTACTACCAGTTGATCGTATTCACACTGGCGGCCTAGTCAGGACTTTTCATAGCAATCAAAATCTAAGGGAATTAGAGTGGAAGAGCATCAATATTGGCAGACTATTATTTATACTGAGTAATGACTGAAGGTGAAATGGAAATTTGGACTGCAGACGGATTCGAAACTAGCGACCATGGGGTTTCTGGCCCAACGCTCTACCGACTAAGCTACGAGGTCTGACCGCCTAACAGATTTTTATTTCACCTCAGTTACTACGGGTGAAATGTGTATTTTCAGTTATTAAAAGTTTTTGAGGGGATAAATAATACCCAGTGTCATCTTTTGTGACTACTGACGAAAACCTAATAAATCCTTGTAAAATCTGCTCTTATGGCTCATCTTATCGTAGCAACAAACAGAGGAATCATGCAGAATATACATCAAAACTTGGTATATCAATTTTTTTTAATACTTAAAATAATTTAATGAAAAGTGATTCTATTTTCTTATTTTTTTCTTTATGTAAGACAGTTATGGTCAAACTTACTATGCCAAACTTTATCAAGAAACTCCTCAGTTTCCTTCAGTTCATCCTTGTACCTGTTCAAAGTTGACTAATTCCATCGCTCAAACCTCACTAAACGACGACTGTTTATGTGATAATGTTGGAAATGATAGTGCTAAGATAGTGACATCCATAGTTGCAAATCAATGGAACCATGATATATCTAAATCACTTGTAGAATGTCATATCTTCACTCCAATTCAACATCAAAGAAATAATAATTTACTGGCTATGAACTTGTCAAATGAAGTATATGAAGCTAAAAATGATATTTCATTATCCAATACAATCACCAATCATAAATCCTACTGTTTACATGTATTTGTACAAGATTTATGTTATGCTATACCTATAACAGAGAAGTATGATCATCACAAATCTCTTTCATGGCAAAAATTAACATATAAATTCTCATATAATATTCAAAAGAATAGACCATCTGATAAATTGAACTTGAAGCTTAAAAAATTATTAGATAATAGACGAATGATAGATTTAATTCAGAACTATGCTAAATTTGATCATCCAAATATTGTAAAGTTTTATGGATTATGTTTAATGAAGTTGACGGATAAAAATTCTTCATATTCGTTTGTTACAGAATTTTGTAAACATGGATCACTTGATATCTATCTGAAGAAGGTTAGTAAAATAAGCTTGAAGAACTTTATTGAGATATTTTATCAGTATACACTGTTTAGTAACGATAAAGAGCGAAAAAAAATTTATATTTGATGAAATAACGAGTAAGTTTATCATGATATCCTACAGTCCCCATAAGCTGACTTTAGCCAGAGGTAACAAAAAATGAATTTATCGATTGTCTCATGAAAAGTAACCAATTTCATGTTGTCTGGCCTTGAAAACTGACTAAATTTCATTGATTATTTTGCAATGGGATGAAAAGCTTTTGATCGTTGTTAGGTGATTGGATGCAATCGACAGGAAGCTCTGAACATAGGACTTGTTCCGCTAGCACTCATTTGTAAGGCGTATCTACATCCTCTAAGATTTAAACTCACGTTATCCAGTGTTAAAGATACAACCATCACCAATCAACCGTTCGGGGTAGGCATTTGTTAATACTTGTACAAATGATAAATGCGGAGAATATCACTGATATTAACAGTACTCCATCAGCATTGTGTAAACAACCTAAAGTTTCTAATGAAAGGTGTATCATTGTAGTATTCGACACTCTTTAGTTATAAACGAAGCACTTACTCTGAATATCCAGCATTGATGAATCCGAACTCTTAAACTCCCGGTAGGAAAACATTACCAATTGAGTCAATTATGTCACAGAGACAGATATCTTCCTATCATAGTGGATTGTTGTCGTGATGGAACCGTGGAAGAAACTCACTTTGAAAATCCACTTTCTTGATCCAACCTTTGGTAATTTCATAAGGGAGCAAGGTTTACAGATCACAAACTAGAATAGCCGAGCCCTTGTGACCTACTAAATTTCTAATCCTTTCCCAGCTTATTCTGACTGACATTTAAACTCACTTTTAAACTGATCATCCGTCAGATGATTCTCAGTGACTACAAGTAAATCTAGTAGGGTTTTGATTCAATTTTTCGTTTGCTAAGCAAAGTAAGTTTTTATGGATACCTTGCTTCAACAAGAGGTTAGAAGTTTAAGTTAAATTAGGCGTTCATAACAAAATTTAATTATGTACAGATAGCCTTTATGATGAATCAATGAAGTAAAATGGTGATTCAGTGTAGAAAAGGTGATGGTAAAAAACCTTAGAAAGAATCCTAAGCGCCAGTATGAGTAGCTTAATTTACAAATAGTAAAAATGAAATGTAAGATAAAAAATTATATATGAGACCTATTCAGTTGAGTTTCTTATACAAGTAACCTGGAGATTAACACACCAGCATTAAAACCAATTTTTCTTGGTTCGGAAGTCAGTTGGAAAAGTCATTGGCCGGTGAACCTGACCACAGTATGATGTAGGAGGTGATTGACATTCTGCATCTTATAACAAACTTTGACATCACTATTTAAGATATCCCTCATTTCTTAGAGGGTTATGTACTCACAATATAAATAACTTGTCTTAGACGGTTAACATAAGTTCACCCAGAAAACTCTTATTTTCCATCTTGTTTCAGGAAAATGTCATCATGGTTCTCCAAAAATAGCATTAAATTTCTTAATCGAATCATTCTGTAATAACAAGTGCTCAATGCAGCACTTTGTTGTGTACATGGATGTAGAAGAATATCCTTAACAATGGAAGATTTATCTATCAAAGAATGATCGGTTAACTTTTACTACAGAAGGAATAAAATCATCAATTGGAGCAATGCAAGCTGACCAGTTACTCGAGGTTTAAACGTGGTTAGTTAGCCAGTGTGACGATATTCAGATAGGTATATATACCAAGTATTCATATAGCTCCTAGGAAGAGACATAATGAGTGAAGTGAAATTGAAGTCAGGTTAGTTACAAAGTTCTGCTGCTCAGCAGCACAGTTGGCATAAGTCAGTTAGGTACGAGATGAATAATCAGTCAAAACTTTGACACCCTTATCACACTGGCATGTCCATGCCTCCGAAGAACTATTTCGATAGAACATATATTGTATTCAACTTCAAAAATAAACTTGTTTTCATCATCCAGTTAATGCTGTCCGAAATCGGATATGATCACAGTTTTAAGGAATGAACTCATCTGATTCATATTAAACTATATATTTAGTTTCCTGTTGTCTTAATCTGGTATTTCTTTCCGTTCACTGAGTCTAACGATCATGTTCGTAGTTAGCTATAGCGCTTACAGGGATTTTGATTGAATGATAACAGAGAATAATGTAATGCAGTTTATTGGTCACTGCTTACGTGGTTAAAAATTATTCACTGTTAGTTGCATTAAGTTCACAATTATTCAGAGAACTCAAAACGTATGACTGGCCAATAGTCTACTTACTCTCATTCTATGAAGCAAAACTGTCACATGTACATAAATTTACTAGCTCCTAGCAAAAGGATTGAATGCTGTTTATTCACGTATAAGTAGTCAAGGCCTCTACTAAGTCATTTGAGAGTTATTCGCTTCTTATCACAAGGTAAATTGTTGTATTTACGCCGAATTTAGACCTAATAGAATGTATCTTGTTTATTTATTGAATAACAGGTCTTACAAGGAAATCAATTTCAGAAAACCGAAATCAATATGAATCCATTTAATTTGCGTACAGCAGTGAAAATGCTTTTTGAAATATCATCTGGACTAGAGTATCTTTCGTCTCAGAGTTTCACAATTGAGGTAAATCAATGTGTCAATTGTTTTTCTTAATTGAAATTCTTATGTGTTCAAAGGGATGATGGTGGTTAAAATCATATGTCTTGAATGTTTCAGTGGTTCTATTGTTTCTTTGATTTCGATCAGTATCCTACTATGCGCTAAATAAACATCTTGGCTAAAATACTGATGAATGTACATCAGGGCGTGCATGAACATGAAAGCATATTTAACTGAATATCGATAGTATTTGATTGGTGATAACAATATTCAAGTCTGAGGGAATTTCTGTTTCAGGATGCTTGTCGGTTTATTTAAAAGTTTGACTGTAGAGGAAAATGCTGGACAGCTTTCTCTGAGAGAAGCTACACCCAGCACCGTAGATTATCTGAAAACATGTGTCTCATTCAAAGAACCCTTGTAGATGAAATCTATGTTTGCTTAAAAGGTATCTAAGTATAGGTAAAGGTACAATGCTTCAAAGCTATATGATTAATGATCGAAAAATGACTTCTGAACAGGATATACAACTGACACCAGAAGAAAAAACAATGGGATTAAAGGTATATTTACTTCAGCAGATCAGCGCGATTACGGCTGAATGTTCAGTCGTTTATACACATTTTTGATGGCCTTGACCAGAAAAAACAAAATAGCATATTAAAAGCGTAAAATTGACCAATCAGCACTCGGCACCTTAAACCGCGGTAAAAGCAAGCAACATTGCTTGAGGCAAAATAAGCGCGAAAATAAGACGTAAATTTTAGCTTTCCCTAACAGTATATGACAACCATAGATTTCGAAAGTATAAATTCAAACGTGTTCTAAAAAAGACAACTTTCTTTTAATATAATCTATTCTTTGAAATAGTTAAAAATCTTTTAAATGAATACGTTCAAAGTCCCATCATTCAGCTAGGAAAATAAATATTAAAGATGATTTTCCTATCAGTTTTAAGACAACTTTTAAATCGTTAAGTTTAAATTTCATAGTATGAATAAATTTGTGTTTTGGGAGGAAGTGATACACCAATTTGGTATTTCTCCTTTTATTGAACCAAGTGTTTCTTTTTGAAACAAACCGATAATTCATTTCATCTAACCAGCAGTAAAGTTTTTGGAATTTCTTGATAATGACTAACAGTAAATGGGAGATGTGTTTCGTCAATGAGAGATTCTTCAGCTGGACGTAACTTCACCCTAGCCAATGACAGTGTTCCTACCGAGATCGTAACCAAAAACATATCGCTTCGAATGCCAAAGCGTTATCCCCTAGACTACTGAGTAACCATATTCAATTGTCGAACACCAAGTATAGGATATTTGGTGTGAAATGCTGAAAGGTAGTCAGCAGGAAGCTGTGGATCCAGGTTTATTCCCCCAATGGAACTCATCAACACCAACAAATGTGTGTTTTGATGGGTGAAACCTGCATGATTTAGTGCTGAATTCCAAGACCTTACAACCAAGCCACTTAAGCCACAAACTCCTACAGTGCTATGTCACTTGGCTTAGTGGCCATACTACAAAAGCTGATTCAAGAACTTCAATCAGAAGTAAGCCTCAACGAGTAGGCAGCTACTTAGCTTAACAGTTGCTATGGGATTCATGTACAGTCATTGTTTATCGATACTCGTGTCAGCAAATAACAATATGGGCAAAGGAATCCAGGATATGCGTTTCGTCCTATTCGGGACTCATTTGATGGATATGCCTGCCTCCAAGTAAGTTTTGTTCCAAATAAAACTTAATCTTAGGACCGACGGTTTCAAACGCCGAAACTTTTTTCACAAAAACTCCTGAGTCACAATATCCTCTTCATGTGTGACGGATGTAGCCTGTCAACATCCGAACAGGAGCTCATATACTAATAGCGGCCGATTGATTCAGTCCAGTTAACGACGAAGATTTACAAACCATACCATTAGAAAAGCTGAATTATTACATATTTAAGTGTTTTATTCATCTCTTCATTGTTTTCGAAAGACATAAGTATTTATTTTACAAATATTATTCTAAAATTTTCGTTTGATTTAGAATTTCACAGGTTCATCTGTGCTGTTGGATAGCAGTTTTACCTGCAAAATCAGAATCCGCTTACCTTCGACTTTGGTCGAAAATGAAGAGAATCATCTGATCAAAATGAAAGTAAACACTGGGTTCTTTCAACCACTTCTGGTGAGAAAAATATTTTAATTAGAAAATTGCCTATCTATATAAAAAAAATTGTTATTTATATTCAGTTTTGAATTTTATGGGGATTTATTGATTTCAGATTGGTATTCATCATGGACTGAAAATTATGGAAATATTGGAAACTTAGGTGAACTGGACAGCTGTTTCATCCTAGTACGGGACTCATCAACAGTGCTCACTAATGATCCCTTACCCATGGATCGAGTCCGTCACCTTCAGGCTCCGTGATCACCACGTTACCACTGAGCCAATGGGTCAAGATCCAGTGGTTCATACTCTTTACTTCTGTCAAATCATGATATGGTGCAACCTTCACCCAATACCATCATTGGGTAACTGTCATCATGTTCGACTTGCTCAACTAAGTCCGCCTAGTAGCTCAATAGCAATATGCTGGCCTCGAGACCTGAATGTGCTGAATTCTACCCCTGGTAGGGTAATGAATGCTCATTGCTGAGGAATCCTGTACTAGTTAGACGAAATAGCTGTCCAATGCACCCAGATTTCTAACGTTTCTCTAAATCATGTCAGCTAATAATGAATGTTAACCTGTTTTTTATGTTTCTTACAAATTTTAGATCAACTGTTGATGAAGAACCATTAATTATTTTGAATGTAGTTATCGAAGTATTTTATGTAGTCGATTGTTTTCAGAAACGGTAAAATCTGAAAGATACATGTGAAAAACGCTACAAAGCATACAAGTTCATAAGTGTTAAGAATGTCTAGTTGACCTGTTCTAAAATGTATACAATGATCAGCTGGTTAGAACTGATACCAGTTCCTAAATAAATGAGGCCAACACTTCAAACAATGAAGTAATCTCTTTATCCAAACAAGAAAGTGAATACAAATTAGTTCTGGTCAAATATCTTACAGATGAGACGTCAGCAAAGCATACTTAGATTTTCCGCTCAATATACTAAACTTGTTTTTAGTTACATTTCTAGAAATGATTTCTGAATTGTTTAAAACCCATATTGATGTGAAAATTCTTCAGACATTGAAAGGCTATAGTATAATTGCTTGTATTATACCGTCGTTGATTGGACCAAATTGATCGGTATCTTTTGGTATATGGGATTCTGTGAGGATGACTTGGTGTTACCTGTATTTTAATTCGAGTAACCATGGATAGCGGCTAGCAGTGGAATCCAGGATACGGATTTCATGCTATTTAGGACGTCCACTCAACGACTGTATAACACAGGCAATTATACTAAAACTATTCTCATCGCACAAGTAACTTTCTTGGCTCGGTGGTCTAGTAGATAAAGCTGTGGTGTTTGAAGTAATTGGTCACGAGTCTTAACCCCGATTAGGACAACATCGCTCGCTGGCAGGCACGACGATCCAGCTGACTAGTCCAAAATAGTTCGAAGTGCATATCCTGGATTCCACTGATAGCCTCTACCTATCACTACAGTAACTGAAGGGATTTTTTAACAGACTTTCACGTTCATACGCGTTAGTATCTAATAAGCAGTCTGTATAACTCATTGTCATATTTGATGAAAATTTACTTTCCACTGAGCTATTATTGTAAGCTTACTGATGCTGAAAGTAATTTTGAAAAAGTTAGTTAAATATTCACTTATAAAAACTCCTTGCTGATTTTTCGTGATGACTGAATTTTGAAGCAAATCTAAGTAACGCTAAAATTCTAACCAGAGTTTCAAACTTGGTGTTTTGTTGACCGGTTGACAACACAAACTACTTCAGTTTTTTTCACAGTGCAAGACCAAAGACATTTGCAGAATAAAATGAGCTTATTCACTTTCATAGCCTTTCATCAGCTAAACATTCTGATTGAGCAGCATAGGTTGACACTAAAAAGCTGAACAAGAATCATCAAGTTGTTATAACTGGAGCTAATAAGTGGTCTGGTGTCGTCATAATGAATAAAAATAACTACTTGCATAAAATCCTGATGATTTCGGGGAATTTGTCAAGATTCATAGTTGATAGATCCCAAAAAGGGTGCGACAGTTTCAAATGAAAATAAAGTAACCAAGCACCTGAGAGAATTTTTGAAGAAGCAATTGATTGATGGAGCAACCCACAGTGAACTTAAACCAAAACGTTCATGACTACCCTTCATTTACGGCCTTCCAAAAATCCATAAGTCCAGTGTTCCTTTGAAACCTATCTTGTTAATGATAAATTCATCTTGTCACACATTAGCTCGTTCGTTAGCAAAGAAATTAGAACCCAACAGAAAAATGCTGACAAATCACAGCTTGAGGGATACATTTCAGTTCTCTCAAGAACTGGATAGATTAGATATCTCAGATAGACTCATGGTATCATTTGATATTTCTTCATTGTTTATGAGGATACTAGTGGATGAAACGATAGACATAATCTGTCAACAGTATGATCTACTACCATTGTTGAAAAAAGAACTCAAACAGCTACTGCTGTCCTTTATAAAAGATGTCCAGTTCCAGTTTAATAATTGACTATACTGGCAAATTGTTGGAATGGTTCACAAATGGGACTAATCCTAGCTGATATATTTATAGCTCATCTCGATCGAACAAGTCTATACGCTGAGATCAAGGAAGTGAGATATTACTGCTGGTATGTCAATGATACTTTCATCGTTTTTGGATAATATGAATCATGCGTCAAAGTTGTTTGACACCTTCACTCAAGCCCATCCAAGTATTAATTTACAATGGAATATGAGAATGAGAACAGATTCAATTTTTTGGATCTAGGTGTAAGACGGAGATGTCATGGTACAGTTGAGAAAACTATCCACAGAAAAGACACGTGGACTCCTCAGTACCTTCATTACAATATCTTCTGTTCTGTTAGCCATAGGCGTGGTTTAGTCAGAACGCTATTCACTACAATAAAAAGGCTGTGCTATAAAGTTAAACACGAAGAAGAATTCAGGATAATTGAGAAGGCTGTTGTAAATCGTCTTCTCACTTTATGTCAAATCCAATTCACCTACACTTTGTAGACTGTCAACACATTCAGAGCAATCGCCAGTTGGCTGTTCCTGTAGATTTTTTATCTCAGTAGAGTCTACCAATTGATACTTCGCTAACTTTCTGTTCCCTCATATCTTGACTGATACCAATCGGCTACAGTGGCTTATTTACTTTATAGGACGATCATTATATTGTACTTAGTAGATTAGGTTATTTTCCTATTTAATAGTGTTTGCCTACGAATTTTTTTCTGAATAAGGTTATTTGCTTAAATGTCACCATAATTCGAGGACTGTTAAGAATCCTACCTATGATTTTCGATGTGTCTTCTTTATACGACAGCGGTTTAGAGGATTTGAGTTCGTTTCCAGACATTTTGAAACCTTTGATATTCCTTAGCTCAAACTGCCAATTTTTGTGATGGGTGAATTAACTATCATCACCAAACTTACACCTGATTGTATATTCATTCCCAATTCTACAACAGATGTTAATCGAACATTAGCTGACTGTTTAAAGTTATTACCTTTAATACTGTTATCATAAAAATCCTTCATAATTATATCATGTAAAAATATTGTATATAGAACCTACTGAAATATTCACATATTCATGAAGTTTGATTCAGACTTGAAATACAAAATGATCTCGTTAAACTATCCCATGAAAGACAGATCATATGAATCATCCAACTAAATTCATTTAGAATAAAAGAAAGCAGAATATAGGGTTGTTTTTGTTGTAATTTGTAGTCTATTTCACATATTGAAGAAATACTCTTTCATAATATATGTCTTTGTGAAGGATCAGTGTGTAATATAGCGTTAAATTGACTGAAAGCGATAGGATGTTTGAAGAGCGGAACAAATCCTGCTTTATTGTTTGAAACCAATTATTTGAATACTTCTGTACCATAGAAAAGTAAACTTTAATGGAAAGAGCTTGATTCTACCAATACAACAGAATTCATTAGTACACGTTAAGGTGCTTAATGTAAAATGATTCAGTTCCGTTTGTTATTTCCTTCGGCCTATGTCACTTTCATACTTTAATAATGTTGTATTAGCGTGTATAGTGCAGTTCGTGATGCATATATATTAGCAAATTAACCCTCTAGAATCCCCGGTATATCTAAGGGTGCGATAATATCGGTTGCCTTAATACAGCCACGCTTTCATAGCCTTTGCGAAGAAAGTTCTACTCGTTGCCTCCGTGTAGCATGTATTTCTACATAATTAAGGCAGTGAAAGTGCACGTTAATTGGGTCGGTGTGCACAAAATGCATACCTAGGGAAGTTACAGAGTGTCATAGGTCACTTAGGTTTTTCTAATGTACAACTATCCATGTCCAGTGAGTCAACACAAGGCAATCAGAATTCAGTGGATTGAAAAAACTAGGACGCCAAGTTATTATGATTCATAGTATAAAGCCAAAAAGGATCATCCTAGCAAGATCGAGTCGCTGAGGAATCATACGAAGAATTTGATTATTTTTTTATTTGTTTGGACATACTTCGCAGGAATAACACGAATGATGTAAACCTTATACGATGGAATTAGAATCTATTTTTGAGATGAATGGGAATTTTAACTTTGAAGTAGTATTCGTCACGGAATGACATCAGTTTGGGAACCACTGGAAACCTGGGAGCACTGGACAGCTATTTCGTCATGGTATGGGACTCCTCTCCAGCACGGACCCACTGCCCGGCTAGGTACCGAATTCAGGACAGTTAGGTTTCACGACGAACACGTTAACCATCCAGTCATCCGCACTAAACTATAGATACATTACTGCATAGTGTCCATTAGTGACATGCATCCAGATGGATGTCACGAAGTTTTAATGAGAAGCTGTGACCTGTGGGGTCAACCAGTTGAAAGGGAAGCGGATGCCATTGGAAAACTTTGGGTGATGGTCACACCATATCACAAATCGACGGGAGTTGGAAACCGTGAACCAATGAACTCCGACTCAGTGACTGAATGGTCAATGCATTGGTGGTGAGACCCGAAGGTTCTGAGTTTGATCCGTAGCCACGTCGTGGTCGCGTAGTGCTAAGAAGTCCCATACTGGGACGAAACAGCCATCCAGTACTCCCAGCTTCTCAACGGTTCACCAACTGACGTCAGTCCATGAAGAATACTACCAAGAAATCAGAATTGTTCATAGGAATAAAAATTATTAACTGAAAGGTCAGTACAAGGTTATTGCGTTATAATCCATGAAGTGATAGAGCAGATGAGAAGAGTAGAACAGTCGACTCAACGATTACACAGTAAGGAAAGGGAGTGGAAATAATGTTGTTGATTGGTCAGATAAAACAGTCGAATAAATAAATCATAGACAAGTAGCCTAAATGTCGTAGGAAGGTTATGACCAAAGTAAAGTTAGAGATCAAGCAAGCATTTTTTGAACTCAGAGAACTGATGAATCACTGAGTATTCCATTGTGTTCAGGTGTCAAATCCCCACTCCCTTCGAAATTTTTGACTTGACTTTATAACTGACTTCGATGGAAGATTCTAGTAAGGCAGAGTGATCAGAGTTAAACCAATTTCTGTTGAATTGAGCTTTTAGGCAATTCACAGTTTACTTTGAAAAGTCATGTAGGTTAGCCTTTGGAGATGTGGCCTACATAACTAGCATCACGAGAACATGTGAGTAGGTAATCGCATATGTAGGTGCTTCTTCAGATGTTTCATTGTATTTTCTCTCATTACTTTCTATTTTCTTGACTTATGCACACATGCACGTTCTAAGTTGATGGTATATATTTATAACCAGATATGACTAAGCCTGAAAATATATGGATTTAAATGGAGATAAAATGGATGACCATGAAAGAAGATGAAACCAGTAATTTGTCATTCACCAATTCATCTCATATTCAAAAGCCATTTGAGTCGACAAAGAATCTTCTCCTCGATAACTTCTCCCGGACATTATATTCATATTTTGTACCAGCAAGAACGAGAGTAATTTTGATCTATTAATTGAAGTTTATAGTGTGTTGTTGAGTTTGATAATCCAGCCAGTTACAGCACCCTGAAAATTCCTCCGTGTTAAAAATGAAGCAGTATTTGCCATGACTAAAAGATGATCAGTCATTCGAGAGCAACCAGTGTCACGTTGACTAGTCCTACGTGCTGACCAGTTGCCAGCTAACGTTTTGCAATGTGGACAACAAGCTAAGAGGCTCACCGTTGCGTTACACTTTGATGGATATTAGTTACTTGAAGGCTATCGACAGAAATCCCTAATTGACCTAGATTTCGTGTACACTGGGAAACATCAGCAAGTCGTATCTGAAACCTTGTGAGAAGTGATTTCCCCTCTGAGTTTCGAAACAACGTCACCTAGTAGTTTACCTACCAACTTTAGCACCAAATGATATCCATCAAAGTGTATCACGATGGCAAGTATCCAAACATGGTGGCTACACTGCAAAATGATTGATGGTAGTTGGTCAGCACTCAGAAGCTGTCAATATGACACTCGTTGCTCTCGAGTGACCTATCAGTGTATGTAATCCAGTCCTACAGTAGGTCAGTCACGGTGCTAATAGCTCATTAGCATCTTCACATAACGTGAGTTAAAATATCAGAGGAAATATGAGTTTGGTTGGGGTTGCAGACACGTCTTGCTAACCAGTGCTAACAAGCACGAAACATAAGTCAAGTAGGGTTGCCTATCGATTACCTACAACCAATAACCACGATATCTCATGACAGCGTTGTCATCCTGTAGTAGAGTATTTACCTAATGATGAGACATTTTGAGATAATCACGGTCCAGCAAACTGGCATCATCCAAACTTGCCAATTATTGGAGGTATAATAAAAACCATGGCAGGAATCTAATCAGCAGCCTCTGAGTCATCAGCTCAGCACTATGCAAATGCAGTAATGCAAACCATACTTGTGGAATTCATCACTAAGCGTTATCATTATTTATTCAGAAGTTTTAAGATAAATATTCAAACTGACTGGATCACAGGAGAATCCTCAGCAGACTTAGAATACGCAGGTGACATAAGTGAAGACGCTGACAAGATGCAGAGTCTTCCGGATACCTTGGATGGCAATCTGAAAATGTTGGGGATGCATTTCGCGCTTCCAAGGCTAGGCTTCAGTGGTGCCCCGACTAACAATGGAGAGTGAAGTGGCTGAGCGCGTTGAACGTTTCACTTACACGGGAAGTCGGATTAGCCTTGGTGCATTGGCCAGTGACCGACGAAATCAAAACGTTCGGTTGGCTTTTACTAATATATGCCGTCTTTAGCGTTACCATGACATCCAGTTGTCTATTAAGAGCAATCTGTCCGGCTCTGCAGTCCGCCTTATCCTGCTGTGTATGGATGTGAAACATGACCACTAAGGTAGAAGATATGAGAAGGCTTCAAGTGTTTGACCACCGTTGCCTTCGTGTTTCGTGGTGTACCAAGTGAGTAATGCAGAAGTGAGGTGTAGAGTTTTAGAGAGAAGAGGCAAGTCAGTTGATGAGGTTGTGAACCTTTATCGACTGAGACGGCCGTTTAGAACATGTGTCACGTATGCCTAGCTACAGTCTGCTACGTTGCAAAATATGGGCCGAAGTAGGTTCAGGCTGACAAAAGGCTGGGGGGGCGGCCAGATTAAAACATGGCATCAATGTATGAAGTCCTTGACCTTTCGCTTGAGCCATGCAGGTGATGCAGACTAATCGGTTTGGGTTGGCGGGACAAGTGAAAGCAGTGGTTGGAGACTCTACATGATATAGCTCAGAACTGTTGTCAGTGGAGCAGATGCATAAACATACTGAACCACAACGTAGTAATCCCTAATCCCATGTTGATCTTGATAGTGATGATGTGTCTTCTGAGTGAATACGTCTTATTATGTAAGTGAGCTTTTATTAATAAGCCTATTATGAAGTGGAAACGCAAATGACGGCGAACTTGCTTATTCTATCATGACAAAGTAATCTTCTAGTGCAAGTTTCTCATCCAATCTTACCACTGATTTTCATCAAAAAAATTCATCTGAAGTGTATCCGAAACAATCTCCATGAGGCTTCACTGAAATATGAACTAAAGCTTGAGGAAAAACGCAGAACAATTCAAATATAGTGTACTTCTTTTCTATTGAAAGATATTTTTGTTAATATGAAAGTTAATCACTAGATTATCATAACTCAATCTATCTGTGTTTGCAGTTAGTGTTTTATGTATAAATTGTTACTTATATATCTCTCTTTGCCTGCCATCAATTGTATTTATTTATTTAGCTGAATAATGAACAGTTTGTATACCAATTAGAAGATAATGAGCGACTTAATAAAAATGAGAATATTATTTCATCAGAAATCAAGCTGACTGAAAATTTACAAAAAAGAATAACTCACTCTATGGATTATAATATATACGACATGTATAAAATTATAATTGATAAATCAAGAACTCATACTGAGAAATCAGACTCATTGTACTGTCAGTCTGTAAATTCAAGATTAGATGGAATAAAAGGCATAACTGATTTTGTATCAAATTCTAATTCAATGAAAATAAATTGTTACTTTAATAATATATGGTCATTTGGACAATTGATAACTGAACTGATTATTGCTCATTTAATTTTGGCAAATAAACAAAAACTTACTGATAACTTTCAAGTTGGACATTCATATAAATATAAACATATTCATCAGCCTAACATTCCATCCTATGAAAATATTTCTAAGAAAAATACTATTTCTAATGAAAATTCTATACCATCATCAGGAAAATCTCACTTTTTAACATTACAACCAACTTTTCTATTTTATGAAAATTCTTGTAAATTAAATAATATACAAAAATGTATTTATCCATCAGAGTTTATTGAAAAATTCAAGACACTTCCAAATATAAGACCATATACTATACTAGATCATATTGATGTAAACCATAATTGTATAGATGATAAAGTGAACCAATTAGAAAAATTTTCTAATCCCTATACTCTTTATTCAAATGAATTTCTAAAAGATTACAGGCATCATGAAGATTTTGAAATATTCAATCTACTTCAACAATTAACATCATCATCATCATCATTCATTTCTGAAGAAATATATTTTGATTATTTATGTAGATTTATAAAAATGTTGATACCACAAACAAAATTAGACAAATTATTATTTATATGTAGACATCCATGTACACAGTTAAGACCAACATTTAATGAAATAAGAGAACAGTTGAATTATGCATATGAAACTGTGACAACAAAGATATTTGATTATCAAGTAGACAAAAGTACTATTAATAATAATCATGATCATATTGAAAATCTTCTGATTGGTTTAAATGACTGGTAAGTAATATGTGTATAGTTATTACAATTTTCTTTTTAACAATATACTTTAGACTACATTAGTATTATATAAGAAGATGTAAATTAAGATTAATGTGCTATTTGTTAACTTACAACATAAATAAAGTAATGATGTGCAATGGATAGCAGTGGAATTCAGAATGCACATTTCCTCCTATTTGGGACTTGTCAGCTGGATGTACCTGCTTTCAAGTCAGTGATGTTGTTCTCACCGGGACTTGGACTCGGAGACGATTGCTTCAAACGCGAGAGTATTATCCACAACACTACCGAGCCACGATAGCCACACTTTTCTTTTAAATGTCATTTTCATTAGTATGCAACACAAATTAGTACATTCGTATCAAGATAAAAGAGTGGAATAAAATAATTTCATTTTGTTGATATACTTGTAATTCTCCGTTGTTATGCTGGATAGAATTGTTCGACATCTGCTAGCTACAACCAAGTAAATTACCATAATAAATATTCAGGGAATATCGAAGCATCTACATGGGAGCCCATATGCCAACAGACGTTGAGCAATTCAATCCAGTATAACAACGGAGAATTACAAGTGTATCAAAATTAGTTATAATTATTACCCGTTGTACAAGAGGTGTGTGTTGCGCCTCCGTGGCATAGTGGATAATGCCTTGGCGTTTGAACCGATGGGTATGAGGTTTGAGTCTCAGTGGGAAAAACATCACTGACTGAGGTGCAGATACACCCATCTGACGAGTAGCAAATAGGACGAAATGCGAGTCTCGGATTCCTGTGCTAGCAACAACCAAGTAGATTACCATCAGCTGCTTGCGACATTGCATTACCAGACAGTAAGCAATTTTGATGTACGTTTGTCGTGTTTAAATTCACATTTCTAAACATTTTTACAGTCATCGTACCAAACAAGAATTAAGATAGTTTAGTAGGAAATCATCGTATTCAGGTATGAAAAGGCTTGGATGGTGTGTTAATTCCAAGAAAGTTAGGTTAACTGTTAAAGTTTAGAATAAATTAAATTTCCAGGATATTTGGTTGCTTATATGAATTATAGCAAATCTAGGACAACTTATGAATCGGCCTCCAACGGGTGACTTCTATAATTGTCTACACCTATGTTCTGAGCAGTTGTTGAATTCAGTCAGTAAATTTTACAATATACTCAGTAATCTAAGAGATATGACGATTAGGTTTGAATCAGTTAGCTGGAAACTTTGAAATTCCTGTAGTACATCACCTGTCATAGCGAAACGTTCAATGTTCAATAACATAAAACGACCGGACGTAGTAATTATTCTTTCATCCAAATATCCTCTCAACAATCGTTGAAGGGTTACTTAAGATTGAATGCAGTTCCATCATTTCACAAGTCCAACATATTGCTTGTAGCCTAATGGATGACGCTTTGGTATTTGAAGAAATGGGTGTTGGGTTCGAGTCTCACTGGGAAGAACATCAATAATTGGCGTGCAGGTTCACCCAGCTGATGAGTCCCAAGAAGAATAATTCTTATCTACCTTACGTGACATAAAGAGCACTTATCCCAGCTATCATTGCACTTGTTTATCATACATTAACATTTTTAACTTTAGAAGAACACGGCGACCTGTATTCTCTGCAGTCTTCTTAACCTGGCCCTACGACTACCCATAAGCTTCCATTTCTTCCTCAGGGTGACCATCGATGATGATAGTAGGCAGCCTTGTCTTACTCATTCCCGTCTTCACTTCGAAGGCATCGCTGAGCTTTCCATTATGAATCACTTGGCATATAGCATCATATAGCATAAAGCTGCTGTTGAATGAGGCTGAAAGAGATTTGTGACACTAAAACCGTAGTGCTGAGGTAGTTGCCTGCCAAATTGCTTCTCGATTGACGCTGTTGAAGGCCTTTTCAAAGTCGATGAAGCTGAGGTAAAGTAGAGAGTTGACTGCCATTCTATGATCTGTTCTATGGCGATGTATAGCGTAGCGTTGCGATTTGATCAGCACATGATTTATTCTTCCTGAAACCAGCCAGACAACCTCTTCCGGTCCTAATTTTGAATCCAGTGCATCTTTTAGTCTCTCCAGAATGATTCAGCATAATATTTTACTTGGCGTGGACGGGAGTGGAGCATGATTCTGACCCAATTCTTGCAAAGACTTGGGTCTCCCTTCTTTGGAAGTATGACTAGGTAGCCCTTCTTCCAATCAGCAGGTACCTTTCCTTCCTTCCTTCCATCCAAACTTTCTGCAATTGCAACTTAAATCGACTTATAATCCCGTTGTGCAATAGTGGTGTCAGCATGTCCACTGTTGTCTCTGAATCTGTTTTCAGACATTCTGGAGGAATTCCATCTGTTCCTGCTGCTCTCCTGACTTTCAGTAACTTGATGGCGTTCACAACTCCCCTTTCGCTTTTGTTGGAGGGCTTGTGTTCAGTGATAGTTCTGTAGTTGAGCTGTTGGTAGCATTTCTGCACGAGTTGCACATGGTGGTCGTGGTGGTGGTGGTGGTCGATTCAAGAGTTTTTACAAGTGGTCAACACATCGTTTCCTTTGATTCTCCTCCTTGCTAACTAGGTTTCCCTCACTACTCCTCATTGACTTCATCGGTGCTGTGTTGATATCTTCCCTCCAACATAGATACCTGATTATTTGATATGGTGTTGTCAGGTCTCTGTCTCCCCTACTACCAGCCTGTTCTCCTTCACTTGTCAGTGTGTCGTGGAAGCGTCTCTTGTCTTTGCGCGCACCCTTCTTCACTTCTTCGTTCAGTGGAGTGTTTTATAGTTTGTGTTCAGTTCCTCTTCTCGTTGTTCGTCCCTGCACTGCACTGCACTACACTGCACTGCACTGATTCATCTTCTGCTTCACCAATCTCCTTTCCCTCCTCTATCAGCTCCCATGTGTCCATCGAGAGAGATTCATTGTCTTGTCTTCCTTCTTCTTGCTTTCTAACACGGTTATGCAGATTTTCTTCCACATCTTGTTCATAGAGTTCCAGTATTCTTCCGCTCAGGTTTCCACGGGGATGTAGTTTAACGTCCCTCATTTTGTTCCGATGGCTGACGTGGAGATATCCCTTTTAGTTTCGTTCTTCAGTTTCTGTTCTGAAGATTGATCTTGAACTGTTGTCTATCATCAACTTCTTTGAAGGCTTTCAACTTGAATTTGAAGATAGGTTCGTTGCAAAGACTTGAACTTATTTTAGTTATTATTTGAAGGAATTACTTTTCTAGACATTCATATTTATAGAGAATGTTAATTCAAAACTCAATTATCATTTCCTTCATTGAAAACAAGAAATCAGCCATTTATTTTTCATTGAATAATAACCCTTGTGCACATTGTAATGACGTCACTTGTAAGCTGTTAACTTATCATATATAAGTTATTGTTTATTTATTCATCTCTAATCCTTGTTCTTCTATTCAATTTTTTAGTCAAAAAGTAATGAAAACTAATCAGTCTAATGAATGAAATTAATTGACTCTGAAAATAATGTTTATCTCAAGAATTTGAAAGAAAATAACACTATGTTCTTTAATTGACAAAAATCACATTGCTTTTCGTGATTAAAATGGAGACAATAGACAGAAGTTGAAAGCTTAAGTCTTTGCATTTACAAGCAATGCTGTTCTCTACTTTATGTCAATGCAATCAGTTTATAAGAAATTTTTTAGGCGAATTCACATACACGCACATACACACACCCAACCTTTAATATGAACAGTATAATTTAACCTTTGTTGAACAGAAGAAAGATAGATGAAACAAGGAGGCGTAACCATCAGGTTATTTCACTACAGAGATTCATTTTTCTAAATGTATTCATGTTAACTATTCATTGGAACTGTGATTCAGGCATATTTTTTGTACTCTACATTTTTCTTGTAATTCAGTACTCTTTTCAATAAACAGAGACACATAAGATAAAAAAAGTGGTTTACATACACAATATTATTCACGGTGGTAATTAGGAGATCATAAAACAGCCAAGCTCAGAAAATGAGACATGAAAATGCAGCGAAGAAAATTTACTTCTTCGAAGATATAATTTTTGAAAACTGTACAAACGTGTTTATATATCATGAACACATAACAGTCTATTTTTAAACAACACTGTATAATTGCGACATTAGGTCACCCAGTGTTAAAAACCTTTATCAGAATCACGTTACAGCTTTATTCTGTATGATACTACACGGCTAATGATCCCCAATGGAAAGTTCAGTGATGCGCTTAAAATAAAGACAGGGGACAGGAGTAAGACAAGGCTGCCGCCTACTATCACCGATCATCTTCCTGATTGTGGTCGACTGGATCGTGCAACAAACTGTGAGGAGCAAGAAGAGGTCGGTCATACACTGGCTGGACCGATGAAAAGACCGGAGAAGAAGATTTGGATTTCGCCAATGGTGATCTATGTCCAATGTCTTGGCGCACAAACTCGAAGATCTACACGCGAAAATCAACAAGCTGAGAGAAGAGGCAGAACAGCGAAGATGGGACCTAATTCGAGTGAACGTAGAGAAGACGGAGGTGATGCAGATGCCCAACCAACAACAGCAACAACGACAAGCACCAATCACCATCAACGGGAGAAATCTAAACGAAGTTGTCTCTTTCACCTACCTAGGCAAGGCAGCATCGTCTCAACTACAGGTAGCACAAGCACAGGTGAGAATGTCAATGCCAGGATCGGAAATACAGTAAGACAGGCCTTACTGCATAAATCTGAAGTCAGTGTGGAGATCTATTGCACTGCACTGCACTGCACTGCACTGCACTGCACTCAGCATAAAGCGTGAACAACATCCGGATTCCCAACACCAATCTAGTCAAGTCAGTGCTTCTATGTGGTGGTTGCGAGACTTGGTGCGTTACGAAAGCACTTCCAAAAAACTGCAGACACTCATCATCAACAGCTGCCACCTACGCCGACTCAATACTGAAGATGAGATGGCCAGAATAATTGGAGTGAGCAACAAGGAACTCTGGTTGGCAACAAACCAACCAAGTATCCAACTCACAACAAATATGCAGAAGAAGGTGGAGATGGATTGGATTCGACATAAAGTGAGAAGACGGTTTATGGACATCATGCGACAGACTAGGCCAGGTCGTCGAGTGGAAGTGGAAGGGGAAACGACGAGTTGGGCGTCGGTGGTGAGGGTGACATTCAGGAGATCGTGTGAGTAAGATGTGAGAGCTTGTGGGCATTCGTGGCGCCATATTGTACAGACTGCATAGAAGAGAGTGCAATGGAGACGTGCTACTGAAGCCGTATCTCCCACTAGGAACCCAAAGGAAAAATAGTATTATCATAAACCAGTTTTTGCTTCAAATCGCTCTTTCGAGTCTTGTAGACTACAATGCTTGTTTGTAAGTTATTTTTTCTACTTCTATGCGTCTTATTTCAGCCTAAATAGGAGTTTTGTAAGTCGTTATTCAACATGGGTTCGCATCAGTTGGAGAAATATTCAGTTTACACCATACAGTTTGTGTTTACTTAGAGCAGATGTCAGAAGTAATTTCACTTTATTTTACCAAGCCCAATGATGGTCACGAGACCCGAAGGTAGTGGTTTCGATCCCTAGTGGGGTCGTGTGTGCACACTGCTGAAGAGTCTCAAACTAGTGTGAAGAAATAGCTGTCCAGCCCTCCCAGGTTTCCAATGTTCCTCCAAATGATGTCAGTCCATGATGAATACCAACCTGAAAAATCTCTACATTGCCACAAATCCCCCAAATTCAATGAGATTATACGTTTAAAGTTTCCAGCGAAGTAATGACAGATCCAATCACAAATAAATTCCAATTATTTCGGAAAGAGAAGAGTGAATAACAACTAGATAGATTCAACATTTTAACCACGAAAGCCAAAATTCTCTGCTACGGTCCAGCAATTCAAGGAGGATGCCATCTACTTTTTAGGAGTTTTCAAGCTTATATTATTTCCTAATGGGAACCACATCTCGATAAATAAACTAGATTTAGAATCATGAAAATCATTTGATACTGTCTTGTGGTCGAAACTGAATGACATACGGGAGAATTAGTTCCGTTGATAAGGAAACATAAATTATAAGCTTGATTGCTGCGAAACCAAAACATGAACCACGTAGGATAATGTGAAATAACTAAATTGTGATTGCTTTATACCTTCAACGAATGTTAATGTAGACTGAAAGTAGAACAAAGTTCACAAAAATGATGAATCATGGCCACTAATGAAATTGCTGGCGTAAATGAAAACTTACCACAAATAGAGGATCAAAACAGTGTAAAACAGATATGAGCATGCATCCTTGTCAACAATATTTTTCCCATTTCAATACAATTTTTCCATCAAATGATGGATAAATGGTGGTTCGCTAAAGCGTTTCCTATAGAAGGTTATTATTCTGATATGTCACATATTGACAGAGCATTATATGTTGTATGATGTCTAGAAAACCATATGTTACTCGCAGTCGTACAAAAGCAAACACAAAACATTGAAAACTCATCTTTATAATCCTGCAGTTGTTCACACTTTTACTTTTTACAGAAGTAGAATTTTTCAATTTTTGAGATATGTCACGAATTATTCTCGTTGCTTGTGCTAGGTGCTGATTCGCTTCAGTACAGAATTTCACATGAAAACAGCAATATTGAGTGTCAAAACTATCAACCTAGCCAATCACATGGTGTGGTTACGAGTCAACACATTCAGAACAATTCCCAGGCAACTGTTTCTCTAGATTTCTTATCTCAGCAGAGTCTACCGATTGACACTTCGTGAAATTTATGTTCCCTCATATCATGACTATTGCCAATCGGCTACAGTAGCCCATTTAATGCATCTCACCATCGTTATATCGTATTTAGAAGACTGAGTTATTTACCTTTTCCAGTCCTTAGTGTTGTTTCTTGTATTATATCGTCGTTGATTGGACCGAATTGATCGGCCTCTCACAGGAGACCATACGCCAATACAGACTGACCAATTCAGTCCAATCAACGACAGCATTATACAGGGGACAAAATCAAAACTATACCTGTCACACAAGAAGTGGCTATCGTGACTCAGTGGTGCTGTGGTTGACGCTCTGTTGTTTGGAGCAATCGCCGTCGAGTCTGAATCCCAGTGGAAGCAACATCACTGACTGGGAGGCAGGTTAATCCAGCTGACGAGTTTTAGATAGAACGAAATGAATACCCTAGATTCCATTGCTAGCCACTTTATTTGTTTGTTAGCTTCCTAGTGGAGATACGGCTTCAGTAGCACGTCTCCATTGCACTCTCTTCTATGCAGTCTGTACAATATGGCGCCACGAATGCCCACAAGCTCTCACATCTTACTCACACGATCTCCTGAATGTCACCCTCACCACCGACGCCCAACTCGTCGTTTCCCCTTCCACTTCCACTCGACGACCTGGCCTAGTCTGTCGCATGATGTCCATAAACCGTCTTCTCACTTTATGTCGAATCCAATCCATCTCCACCTTCTTCTGCATATTTGTTGTGAGTTGGATACTTGGTTGGTTTGTTGCCAACCAGAGTTCCTTGTTGCTCACTCCAATTATTCTGGCCATCTCATCTTCAGTATTGAGTCGGCGTAGGTGGCAGCTGTTGATGATGAGTGTCTGCAGTTTTTTGGAAGTGCTTTCGTAACGCACCAAGTCTCGCAACCACCACATAGAAGCACTGACTTGACTAGATTGGTGTTGGGAATCCGGATGTTGTTCACGCTTTATGCTGAGTGCAGTGCAGTGCAGTGCAGTGCAGTGCAGTGCAGTGCAGTGCAATAGATCTCCACACTGACTTCAGATTTATGCAGTAAGGCCTGTCTTACTGTATTTCCGATCCTGGCATTGACATTCTCACCTGTGCTTGTGCTACCTGTAGTTGAGACGATGCTGCCTTGCCTAGGTAGGTGAAAGAGACAACTTCGTTTAGATTTCTCCCGTTGATGGTGATTGGTGCTTGTCGTTGTTGCTGTTGTTGGTTGGGCATCTGCATCACCTCCGTCTTCTCTACGTTCACTCGAATTAGGTCCCATCTTCGCTGTTCTGCCTCTTCTCTCAGCTTGTTGATTTTCGCGTGTAGATCTTCGAGTTTGTGCGCCAAGACATTGGACATAGATCACCATTGGCGAAATCCAAATCTTCTTCTCCGGTCTTTTCATCGGTCCAGCCAGTGTATGACCGACCTCTTCTTGCTCCTCACAGTTTGTTGCACGATCCAGTCGACCACAATCAGGAAGATGATCGGTGATAGTAGGCGGCAGCCTTGTCTTACTCCTGTCCCCTGTCTTTATTTTAAGCGCATCACTGAACTTTCCATTGGGGATCACTTGACATATAGCATCTTCATATAGCTGTTGAATGAGGTTGATAAAATTTGTGCCGCTCCTTAGTTTTGGAGTAGAAGCAAATATTTTAATCTGCGTAATTTTTGCAGCGATTGCAAAAGCAAATCCATTTTGGATCA